AGAGGCTATCTGAGAGGATCAGTAAGCAAAGGAGTAAGGCTATGTACGAGCATGCAGAAACACATTGGTAAGTAAGATGGAACATAAGTAAATGAACTTGGAGATGAAACTAGTACAAGGATCAATCAGCAAGATAGAAACAGAGATAACTGAGAACCAGAAAGGTGGAGATGCCTAAATGGGGATAGGCGCAGGATCTCAGATGGAGGGTGGGAATAGGTCCAGAGATAGCACAGTTAATATCCGGAGGTCTGGAGATCTGGGGATCCAGAAGGCAGGGCGGAAACAGGACTGAGATATGTGAGGTGGTGGATGTAGTCCAGAATCTGAGAGGAGGTAAAGTCTGGATGTCTTGCTGGATGGAATGTGCATAGGGTGGACAGGATAGGGGATCCAGAAATGAGTTGGACATGGGGTCCGGAAATAGGTCCGGAAAGCGTGGGAATATGATGGGATCTATGTCTGGCATACGGGATATGACACCCACAGTTTCAACTTCTCTCCATCCAGGCCATGTTTCATAGCCAAGATGTAATGACATGGGATCAGGTTAGCACGTGCTGGTGGCTCCACTATCTCCCATGTTCCCAACTTCTCCAACTGACTAATCTCATAGTCAATGGCCTCTTGCCATTTGACAGCATCAGGTCCATTGAGGGCTTGTTGAAGGGTTGGTTCGAGTTCTACAGCAGCAGCTGCATACTGGTATGTGATCAGTTCCTCGTCCAGGAGGTCTAATTCTGCAGGGCAGAATACCAAGGAGGCGCTCTCACCATTATGGAGAGCAGCAAAGTAGCCTGGTGGCAGTCTTGGGTGAGTTTCTCTGGGAACTGGCACTGGTAGGGCTTTTGGCTGGGGAAGTGTGGATGGCTGTTGGGGCTGGATGTTCTGGATGCTAGTGGTTGTGATAGGTGCTGGTGGGTTTGACTCCCCCTCGTCCGGTACGTCACCTGCCACAACTACACTCACTGGGGTGAAGCTGACATTGTGTTCCATGCTCACCCTCCTCTTGCCTGGCCAATAGATTGCGGAATCCCTTACTCTGCTCATCAACACCGACGAACATACCCTCCTCTGCCCTAGCATCCAACTTCCCAGCATTGGCAACATGCACATATGCTGGACTCCCGAATTCATGAGCTTGCTCCAGTGATGGACGGCGATTATGGAGGAGGTCGTAAGGGGTGTGATCAGGGATAGCACATGAAGGTAATCTGTTTTTCAACCAAGTGGTGTAGTTAATCACCTCGCCCCAGAGGAACTTAGGAAGATCATGGGTGAGCAACATAGCCCTAGCGTGTTCCACAAGGGTCCAATTGAGATGCTCTGCAACTCTGTTTTGTTGTGGGGAATCATGAATGGTGAGTTGTCTCTCTACACCCTGATCCTTGAGGTACTTATTGAATTCGCTGCTTAAGTACTCCCCTCCACAGTCTGACTGCAGTTTTCGGATGCGAGTGCCTTCATGCTGGTGTCCCAGCCAAGCCTTGTACTGGATATAGGCCTGCAGTGCATCGCTCTTGTGAGCTAGGAAGTCAACTCTGGTCTGGTGGGTGAAGTCATCCATGAAGGACATGTAGTAGAGGCTACCACCCAAACTCTCTGTCCTCGCTGGACCCCACAGGTCAGTGTGTACAACCTCTCTGTACATCGTCACATGACTATCCAACTCCTTTGGGAATGGCTTATGCATTGCCTTGGCCTTCATGCAAACTTTGCAGAACTCCAGTTTGGAGGTAGGGTCTAGCTCTATACCCCCAATCAGGCCCTTCCTCACAGCCTCAAGCATGGTGGCTTGGGACACATGTCCCAGCATGCGGTGGAGCTCGTAAACGGTGAGTTTCATCTTTGCAAGGTTGGCATGTTGCTGAGTGCATGTCATGATGCTGTACAGGCCAGCGATTTGGGGTATAGTTGCAATGACTCATCGTTTGGGAGTGGGGGACAAGATCTTACACATCTTGTCCTCAAAATGGACTGCGAGGCTGCCAGACATGATGCGATTAGTTGAGATGAGCATAAATGCCATCTTCAGACTATACAGTGCATCCTTCAAGGTGACCTTGGTTTGTTTTGTGCCATTTGGTAAGTCCAGGACCACATCACCTCTCCCTATAGCACTAATCTTGGATCCATCAGCCATGTGTACATCCTGCGCTTCTATTGCGACGTAATTTGTGAATTTGGACCGGTCTGGACAAAAGTGCGATGTGGCGCCAGAATCTATGATGGCGCTGTGTTGTTCGATGGGGATGTTGAGTTCTTTGGCAATGCTCACTAGGTCAGAGGTCGCAAATGCAAAGTTGTCAGCAGGGGTGCTATTGGAGGCAGTTGTGTTAGCTCCCTCCTTAGGTGAGTGGTTGTTGCCCTTTTGCTGTTGCTGATGAGGCCCTTGGCCTTCCTTCCCCCCTCCAGGTCTCCAACAATCAGCTTTATAGTGCCCTTTTTGATTGCAATTGTAGCACATCGCATCTGGGTTGGCTGGAGTCGTTGTTGTGGCTTTTCGGTTCCATCCTGTGCCTGCCTTTGCCACCAAGGCCGAATTTGACCCTTTCTTCCCACCTCAACGATCCGTGGTGAGGAGTTGATGTTCGTACTCCTCACTGATGACAGTGATTAGTTTGTTGGAGGTGAGTGCTCTCTGGGTGATTTTTGCAGCGGCATTAATGGAGGATAGAAGAGGTCGGTAGGTGTCATATCCCACAATCTGGACCCATGTTCCATCATATTCCCACGCCTTCCGAGCCTATGTCCACACCACACTTCATATCCAACTCATTCCCAGATCCCCTTCCACTGTGTGCTCCACACCTCAGCAGGATCGACTATGCTCTGGATTTACTCCTGAGCTCCGGACCATCGGATCTCCACTGCTAGTCTGAACCATAACCCCCTGTCCCATCCACCCTATGTACACTCCATCCAGCAAGACATTCGGACTTCACCTCGTCTCAGATTCTGGACTCTATCCACCTTCTCATATCCCAGTCCTGTATCCACCTTGTCTTCTGGATCCCCAGATCTCTGGACCTCCAGATATTAGCTCCGGACCTATTCCCACCCTCTGTCTGATATCCTGCGCCTATCCCCATTTAGGCATTCTCTGCTTTCTGGCTTTCGGTTACCTCTTCTTCTGTCTTGCTTATTGATCCTTGTACGAGTCTTCATCTCCGAGTTCATTTACTTATGTTCTGTCTTACTTACTAATGTGTTTCCACATGCTCATACATAGCCTTGCTCCTTTGCTTACTGATCCCCTCAGATATTGTTCAGTATATAACCCCTGTAGATACTCCTGTAGTTCCTTAGTTTGAATATCAACTTAGACTTGCCCAATCCTCTCTCAGACTTTGGTTCACCTAAGTCTGTCCTACCCATCAGGCCTAGGGATTGATTCCCTAGGCCAGAGCTCCGCCTTTCCGGCAGCATCCTGTCCTTCGGACGTTCTGCCCTCCATACCTTTGGATGTTCCGCCCTCCATACCTTCGGACGTTCTGTCCTCCTAACCCTTGGATATCCTATCCTCCTGTCCTCCTGTCCTCCTGTCCTCCTGTCCTGTTTCCTGTAGAAGTATTACCTTGCAGTGGGAACTCTCCTGAGCACTTCCTGCGTTCCTCCAGAACTCTCCCACGCTCCTCCAGATGTTTCCTGTGCTCCTCCAGAAGTCCTCCAGACTTCATCGGACCATCATCGGACCTCATATGAAATGAAGGGCACATACTCGGGTAAGGGGCACAGCATATGAGCTGAGGCCAAGCCCCTCTGAGTCAGTCTCTCTCTCCTTTGAGCATGGTTCTTAACAGTAGGACTCTGGAAGAGATCCAAGTAGGATAGCATGGAAGTCCTTGTCATCGATCACAGACCCCATACCAGCCAAGGATTCGCAAAGTCTCAGCAATTCAGAGAAGTGCGCTTTGATGTCTGCACTCTCATCGCAGCGCAAGTCCTGCATGCAGTGCTGAAGGTCAATTTGGACCAACTTGGTCTTACCCTCATGGATTTGACAGATTTTGGCCCATATCTTGGCAGCTGAATTGAGTTTCTGGACATGCAGAAGGAGCTGATCCATGATTGTGCTAAAGACCTGCTGCTTTACAAGTGCATTCTTTTGCAGATACTTGTCAATCTTTTTATCTAACTCATCTATCTCCACTTGCATAGGTGTCGAGCCATCTGGCTTCATAATGGTGCTCGTCTTCAGATCAATAATGAATGGTACGGGTTTACTAGCATGGCTGTCAATGTATCGCATCAAGCCTCTCATACCAATAGTGGTCAACATCTGTTCCTTGTAGGTGATCCAATTACTGCCGCCCTCAACTAGTTTGGGGATGTTGAATAGTGCTGAAGTAGTGCTGGGGAGCGAAGAGTCCATGACTGTGTCAGGGCTCATAACCTCAAGCAAGTTGAGGTGAGCAGCATGTGAAGTGAGAGCTGATAAAATGATATATATCTCAGAGTCTTTCAAAGATCTCGGAGAGTGGCTAAAGTACCTGATAAAACAATATATCTACTCGTGTGTTAGCTAGGTAGAATAGTGGGAATATAATCAACTTACATCTCAGAGTCTTTCAAAGATCTGAGATGTTTCTACAAAGGTGCCGGTACTTTATACTATGGTCAGGAAAGATAAGGTAACATAGAGATGGACTTCAAATAAATGTTGACATCGGCCGATGTCAACACGTTGTGACATTCTACACACTCATTGCACTCGACCAGTCTCACTTTCATCTGCTTGATCCTTCATCCTCTGATGCTCCTGATGCTCCCAATTCCCCAGATTCCAACACCAGGGATTGGTTATGGACTTGAGTTTTTTTGGAAAGGATGGACTAGCCGAGCATATTATGATCCGAAGAACCAGTTCGCCGTCCAGTAAGATAGAGATAGCAGATCATCGACTTATCAAGGCCCAGATCAGTCATGAGGTTTGATCATATCACTGATAACATTGAAAATCGTAGATTGAAAACATTATGGCGCAAAACTAGGTAAAGCTAGACATAATCTGCATGTAGTGTATGGTACCACTCTTTGTCAGAGAATGCATTGAGATAGAAATCATTGTAGCATTCAAGAGACTTTGCGGAGGTAACAGTGCAATCCAATGTTACCCCATAGACTGGTATGAGTTCTATAGCATGAGTGACATCAATAAGGCATCCAATCTTCCCAACCCACGTGCGAGAACCATCAGGTGCAGTATGGAACAAACAGCAAACTCAGTACATGGCAATATGTGGCTCAGCTTCAGGGGGTGCGGCTATTTCAAAGAGCTCAACATACAAAAGGGGGCCCATCAGCTCAGCTGGCAGCTGCGACCCTTGTGGAGAGAGCATGAAAACCATTCAGACTTGAGCAATGTATGGTGCTGAAGGCATATCAGTAGCCAGAATTGAGCAAAATTTGAGAATGTACAATACTGTGGATCATGGCCTGGAGGTTGAAGGAGGACAATATTGCAATTTCCATAAGGATGGGAATCAGATGGTGGATAGGCCTGAACCTGCTGGCTTGGCATGATATTACTTGGACAAAGTCAAGAGCGAAGCTGTAGCCTAAATTTAAACCAGGCTTTAAGCAGGTGACCATGAAAGTGCAAGTTAGGACCAGAGACAACTTCAAGAAATTGTGCGAGCAGTTGTGGGAAATGAGGGAGATGATAATGATTAGCCAGAGTAGTGGCGTTCTTATCAGTGAGATTGTGAGCAATTGTAATGTGAAAAGCCACACTGGCCTCATTGGAAAGAATCCCTTTGAGAAAATGATTGTGGATGGGTCAAATGGCCTGAAAACAGTGCATCTCCTGTGGTGTAATGCACACTATCCAACTGAATGTTGGATCGGTATCAACGACTTCATTGAACTCTTCGTCCATAACATTAACAAGAGAGATCCCCCATTCACGAAGGAGGGCGTACAAGTCAAATTGTTGCATTGTGTCCTCACGATTAATGAGATTGACAACCTGTTGAGTAAACATGCTCCTTTGGTGACTTGTCCAAGTGAAAGGTGTCTTGCAGTGTGTGATCAACAGCCGTTCGCTGGCATCTGCTGAATGTTGGATGACAGCACCAGATTTACAGATAGAGTGTGCAAAGGAATTAAAGAGCTTGAGTTTTGGGATTTGGAAATGACTCATTGGGCCAGAGGCTCCTGTGCAAGCCTCCACCTCTAAGATGAAGTGTTTATGGGCGTGGAACTCGTTGAGGGAGGCAACCATGCTGCCAATGGAGGAGTTGGTGAAGGTAGGAGCCTGTGATTTATATATGAAGTCTACAAGTGCACAGAGTGCACGAACGAATCCAGGGGTAGTCACACCCACAATGGTGGGGACCAGTCTTCACTGGATATCGCGATGCTCACATCCGGTCATTTGATTAACATGAGAGATGCCATCAGCAAAATGACGCATGCCAACATGTTTATGCTGGCTGTGGAATTGAGCATCCAGCTCATTAACGCCTACCACCTCCTTGCACCATTTCAATATATGATTGAAGAAAAACTTGTGGCATGTGTGTAGTAGTTCAGGGATGAGGAAAATGGCAGGGTCAGAAAACCACCAGTCACGCCAATACGGGAGATGGACACCACTGAGTGATTGTTGCTTTGCCTGCTCCAGGAATTCCCGAACTTTCCAGGGATCTACAATTTTGCCAAGTGTGATCAGCTCATTGATTGTAGATTGGCCATCTTGGGGAGGGTGCGCAATGCCATCATCAAACTGTGCTTGTGCAGCTAGGGTTATGGGTGAGACATTTTTTGAGACACATGCAATCATAAGTTGCTCGGGAAGGTCAGAAATGTGGGTGGCAAGCAGTGTGAATGCATAATGCTGGCAACCCATTGGGTCTGTCATGAATTTGCCCACTTGAGCTGCAACCTTCAGGTTTTGTAAGACCATATCCATGCACCTATGCCAGAGGTGCACTTCCAATACTCCTGAGAAATCATGGTTCATGATATATTCTGGGGTTGGAATGTATGTGATGCAGGCCCATGTGTGTGAGGTTGCCTTCATGTGAATTTCAGAGTGGATGTTCCCAATTGTCAGGAATGTGGGGTGCATCTCGAGTGAGCCTGTGTGTTGTGTTACTGGGGTCTTGTCAGATGCCAGAATGATGGGTACTATAGATGTGCCAGTGGGCAGTTGACTCTAGAAATAAATTTACTTAGTGAGACACATTTATGTTGGAAGCTTAGAAGGAACCTGCCTGAATTTCGAATGCGTGCTCACATGACATCCACTCCCCATACTCATGCTCACCATTGTCTCATATTTCATAAGGATCATATTCCATATGGTTGGTGAAAATCAGATTGCCAAAAATATGGTGTAACTTCTAGGGCATCTCACCAGATGAGATTCATGGGGTGCGTAGTCATATATCCATCAGTCTCGATGGGTGTGCACTTCCATTTAGGGGTCACTGGTAATGCCTCCATGAAAGTAAAGAGCTGCTTGGCATTCTTAAAAGACAGCAGCTGTCTTGCCTCTGAAACCACCTGGGAGAGCATGATTAGCCTGGTCAATGTAAATTGATCCCAATGAACCCAGAGAAGTTTCAGAAATCGAGTGATCTGCCCTTGATTCAAGTTCTTGCAAAGGAATTTTGCAAGTTCCCACTCTGCTCTATCTGAAAACAGATAATATACATTGTGTTCCCACATATCCTTGAAATTGTCTTGCTTCATTCATTCAAAAGTATTTGGCTGGCCAAGATCATAGATATAACCTGACTTAGGATGGAATTGTCCTTGTTGTGGCTGGTCCTCCGATCTTTGGGGGATACGGAATGCAAGTGGAGGGGGAATCAGTTGCTGAGAGCATCCTGGATAGAGGTCCTTATAGTCAGAACTCGAGAGTTAAATTGGCTATTCACACCTGGATCATCAGATAGATGGGTGCATATATCCTCTGTGGTGTCAAAAACATTGGAACAGATGGGGCATCTGACTGATTTGCTGAGACTGTATACTTGTCAGTCAGATTAAATCTGTAGTAACCAGCACTTACTCAAGTCCACTGAACCGACCAGGCTCATCAGGAGGATCATGCATGTTCATGGTAGCAGTGTCAATACCATAGAGTGCTGCATCTGGTGGTTTCAAACTTGAAAAGTTTCTAAGTCTTTCAGACTCCAACACCAGCAGACTGATAGTTGTCGTCTCTCTAGCAAAGTCTATCATAGCCAAACCAGTAGTCAGATATCCATGGGTGGATCCACCAGAATCGTTTCAATTCATTCCTGCAGTCCTGCTAGCTCTCAAACCTGCATGGAACTATCAACCTCGATTTACAAAGACAAAACCAAAACCAACAACAATATGCCAACAGAGGAGTTCTCTAGCCCTCCCACCACACATGCCATTCCACCTTCCCCTGGAGAGTCAATTTTCCTAGCTTCCCCAAAGACAAAGATTAGATCCACTTTAACATCCCCCATCAAAGACAGGCCAACATCATCCCCTGCAAGAGTGTTACAAACCCCTTCTCAGGAGACAAGGACTAGATCTCCCTTTACCTCCCCTGTCAAAATCAGGTTTGAGCCATATTTGAAAGCAAGAGCGACATCAGCTGCTTCAGCTCAATTTGCCATGAAATCTCTCTGGGGCCAGACTGCCAGGGAGCTGTATCCTGAAGCTGCTTTAATGGCAAGTTACTTCATGCATATTGTTGATTAAAAGCTCATAAATTAGATTAACAGACCAATGACATTTTCAGTCACAGTCTCGCAGACTTACCAGATGATATGCTACGTGAAGGTGCAATGGCACAGTATGCCACTTGTGAGCTAGCTAGACATAAGGTCACTACAGCAACTTGGGCAGTCAAAGAAAACAACTGCTGGAGACAATTCCTTGACCATTCCCTTGCGCACTTGAAGAGGAAGCATCAATACTCCCAGACAGATCTCGAGATCTGGCAGCAGGCGTGCACTACTCGCAGGTTGAAAGATCTTCACCAAGATATCACCTTCCACAAGTATACAGCTACTCAGAATACTCTGACATTAGCAGCCCTCCAAGAACAAGCTCATCAATTGAAGGAATATGTTGAGGAACAAGGGGTCGACAAAGAGGTCTCGGATGAGAGTGACTATGTACCAAGCGAATACAGCAGTCCTACAATGGGTCATGATGATAACGATGGCAGTATACTTTTGGGAGCTTTAACATAGTAAGCATGACTTGTTGCCCATCGTTTTACTTATTTTTTGGAAAATGTTGGATTACATATGATTTTTGCAGTCTGATATGCTTTATGTGTTTTGTATGTCTTGCATGTACTGAATTGGTGTTATCACAAATTTGTCTTCAATCAGTTATCATTTCTGACCATCATGCATCGTGACTGATCACAATACGTTTGCACCTGTGCGCTATTGGTAAGTGGTTTTTAGATGGTGCGCATGGGGCTGATTCTTGAACTTTATCACCATATTAGTGTACTTGCGTCTACAGTTCACCATGCCACCAAAGTCCAAGAAACTGCGATGAAAAAAACCACAAAATACCAGGGTACGAGTTTCTTGTGGCTTCAAACAGGTACTGATCCATCGCGGATAACAGGAAGTGCGGAAACCCACCAAAGACAGCAATAAAAACCCATGCTTGAATCCAGACGACACTCAGGTGGGATGTGCGATAGAGCAAACACAACACTGGAACGATGATCTAGTACCAATCATGCAAGATGAAGAACTTTTGTACTCAAATGAAGTCAGTAACTCAGAATCAGAACGCAAGCAACCCCACCAGCAGCCCCAGCACTACCAGCACCAACACCAGCAATTTCCTGGACCTCTGTTCCCACAGCGTGAGCAGATCCACCATCCATCTTTCCAACAACCTCTTGAACCTCCTGTGCAGCCTCCATTCCAGCACCACAAGAATCAAACACCCCAATCCCCATTTCATCAGCATCCTGATCCCTTCCGACATGAAGAGCCCGCAGGCCAAATACCCTACACCCCATTCCAACAACGCCCTGATCCTGTCACACAGTACCAGCACCCACATCCGCAACAGCAGCAGTACCTGCCGCCACCACCACAGCAGCACCCACACCCACACCAGCAGCATCAGCAGTACCCACACCTGCACCAGCAGTACCCGCATCCACAACAGCAGCAGCACCCACTGCTGCCACTGCAGCAGCACCCACACCTGCATCAGCAGCATCAGCAGTACCCACATCTGCGGCAGCACCTGCACCTGCACCTGCACCAGCAGTACCCACACCCGCACCACCCACACCCACAGCAGCAGCAGCACACTGGGCAGGGTATACCCTTCGTCAACATTGACACACCACTTCCTCCCACCATGCATGGTGCAGAGCGCCTCAGCAGGCACAACCTATCCATCCTGCACCATACGCCCTCCCAGGATTGCGCAAAGTCACAGTCTTTGGCCCCTGTCATAAAGATGAGCATTACCATGGCCAGTGGCAAAACACAGGGGTGGTCCATGTAAGTTCAAATGCATCTCACCTTGTCACCAACCTTACCCTAGACAACCAGGCTGGAAGCAGCAAGGATGTCACTCCGAAACACCCCACAGCAAAAGACCTGCCTTCACGACCTTTGCCTCCTCTGAATACCACTGCTGCTGGTTCAATGGTGCCAGCCTCCCCCATGCAATCTCCTTCAGACACTGTCCCTGTCCCTGTCCCCCATCAGCAACAACACCCCATTCCCATACCTGCGAATCACACAGAGGAGATCAAAACCAGTGCAAGGTCAAGAATGTGACACGCAGTGCTAATGTTAAATGGGATGCCCTCCAACGATGAGAACATTCAAATGGCACACAATGCAATATCGCAAGCCATGCAGATCTTTCCCCACCAGGCAATTACTATCTCCCCAGGGAGGAGACGTTCATCAGTTCACTCACAAAAATCACTAACACCATCTGCTCTTCATTCAAACATGTTGCACATGTTGTCATGCAACACAAATACAATCTTGAGCTCAATATTCATGACCCATCATTGGAAATCACGCACAAGCTACAAGTGGTGCCTATGCTCTTCTCAAACCTCCAATGTTTGTTCAAAACAGAACAACTGGTAGGTCATTTTTTATTCATGCCATGTGCTATTGTATACTAACAATTAACTACTAGATACTCAACGGTAATTTACAATCTGTCGTTGTGCTCAAGCACAAGGCACTCATTTCAGTCGTGATGGAGGTCTTATGGACCAAGGGCTTTTACAAAGACATCGACTTTGAAGATCCTGAAGCTCTCAATGGCATTATTGCTCTTGGTGGCACAGCAATTTGGTCAGCAATCAAGGAGTACAAGACTGGCGTGTTCAAACGTGTTGATTTTTCTATAGCAAAGTCAAAGGACATTTATCACAACATCCTCACACACATTCACAACAAAATTGACCCTTACCCCGAGCTTGCAGCACATTTCAAGGCACTTAAGACGAGGATGAGTGTACACGGAAAGGAGAGGTTAGGGCTGTGAACTAGTACACTATGTAGTATAGAAATGACGACAACGGTGTACTACTAGCTAATCTTGAATCATGATAATGCGATGATCAGCCTGATTGTTAAGAACCATGCTCAAAGGAGAGAGAGACTGACTCAGAGGGGCTTGGCCTCAGCTCATACACTGTGCCCCTTACCCAAGTATGTGCCCTTCATTTCAGAGGAAGTCCAATGATGGTCTGACGAAGTCCAGAGGACTTCCGAAGGCTGGCTACTCTGGTAGGGAGTGCAGGAGGACTTCCAGAGGAGCGTGGGAGAGTTCCGGAGGAATGCAGGAAATGCTCAGGAGAGTTCCCACTGCAAGGTAATACTTCTACAGGAAAACAGGATGGAACCGGAGGGCGGAACGTCCAAAGGTACAGATGCCCGGAGGTATGAGGGACAGGACGTCCAGAGGTACAGAAGACAGGAGGTCCAGAGGTCCAGAAGGAATAGGGGCTACATCGGATGAAGTCCGATGTAGAAGCAAATGGAGGTAGACTACCCTAAGGTAGAGTCGGAGGGACAGGAAGTGGACCTAAGTCCAGAAAGAGGTAAGTGCCAGAAAGGCAAGACTCTAGCCTAGGGAAGCAATCCCTAGACTTGGGACAGAGACATAGGGGACAAATCCGAAGGTCCAGAATTCCAGCCTAGGGAATCCTTCCCTAGGCCTTATGGAAAAGGACGAGACTCAGACGGACTGAAGTCCTGAAGATGATTGGCAAGTAGAACAGGATCTAAGATGATATTCAGACTGAGGACTCTACTGTAGTTGTACAGGGGTTATATACTAGAGGCTATCTGAGAGGATCAGTAAGCAAAGGAGTAAGGCTATGTACAAGCATGTGGAAACACATTGGTAAGTAAGACAGAACATAAATAAATGAACTCAGAGATGAAACTAGTACACGGATCGATCAGCAAGACAGAAACAGAGATAACAGAGAACCAGAAAGGCAGAGATGCCTAAATGGGGATAGGCACAGGATCTTGGACAGAGGGTGGGAATAGGTCCGGAGATAGTACAGTTAATATCCAGAGGTCCAGAGATCTGGGGATCCAGAAGGCAGAGTGGAAACAGGACTGAGATATGTGAGGTGGTGGACATAGTCTGGAATCCAAGAGGAGGTAAAGTCCAGATGTCTTGCTGGACAGAATGTGCGTAGGGTGGACAGGATAGGGGATCCAGGAATGAGTCAGATA